TCAAACCCGGTTCTCCCAGATTAGAGTCTGCGCATTTAACCACTACACCAAACAGGAGCCTGCCTTGATGGGGAGGGTGGGATATAAATTGAATCGATCAATCAATCTAAATTCCAGGTAGGTATCCTTGTCCCATTGTTTGTGGTTGTTCCCTTTGTCCCAAAGTTATTGTTGTTGTTGTTCAGTCGCACAGTCAAGTCCGACTCTTCGCGACCCCATGGACTAGATCCCGCCAGGCCCTCCTGTCTTCCGCTGTCCTCTGAAGTATGCTCAGTTTCATGTTCTTGAATCGATGACACTGTCCAACCATCTCATCCTTTGCCGTCCCCGTCTTCTGTGACCTTCAGTCTTTACCAGCATCAGGGTCTTCTCCAGTGAGTGCTCCCTTCTCATTTGGTGGCCAAAGTATTTGAGCTTCAGTTTCATTATCTGGCCTTCCAGGGAACAGTCAGGGTTGATTTCTTTGAGGATTGACTGATTTGATCTTCTTGCAGTCCAAGGGACTCTCAAGAGTCTCCTCCAGCACCATAGTTCAAAAGAATCTATTCTTCGGCGCTCGGCCTTCCTTATAGTCCAGCTCTCGCAGCCATACATGACTACTGGGAATACCATTGCTTTGACCATGCGGACTTTTGTTGGCAGGGTGATGTCTCTACTTTTTATCATGCTGTTTAGGTTCGCCATCGCTTTCCTCCCAAGGAGCAGGCGTCTTTTAATTTCATGGCTGCAGTCACAGTCTGCGGTGATCTGGGATCCCAGGAACGTGAAGTCTGTCACTACTTCCACGACTTCCCCTTCTATTTGCCAAGGAGTGATGGGGCCGGATGCCATGATCTTAGTTTTTTTGATGTTGAGCTTCAAGCCCACTTTTGCGCTCTCCTCTTTTACTCTGAGCAAGAGGCTCTTTAGATCCTTTTCACTTTCAGCCATTAGAGTGGTATCATCTGCATATCTGAGGTTGTTGATCTTTTCCCCAGCAATCTTAATTCCCGCTTGTGATTCATCCAGGCCAGCATTTCGCATGATGTACTCTGCATATATATTAAATAAGCAAGGTGACAGTATACATCCTTGTCGTACTCCTTTTCCTATGCTGAACCAATCAGTTGTTCCGTATCCGGTTCTAACTGTCGCTTCTTGGCCCTTATACAGGTTTCTCAAGAGACATGTGAGGTGGTCTGGTACTCCCATCTCTTTAAGGACCTGCCATAGTTTGTTGTGATCCACACAGTCAAAGGCTTTAGCATAGTCAATGAAGCAGAAGTAGATATTTTTCTGGTACTCTCTTGCTTTCTCCATAATCCAGCGAATGTTGGCAATATGATCTCTCGTTCCTCTACCTCTTCGAAACCCAGCTTGTACTTCTGGTAGTTCTCTATCCACGTACTGTTGAAGCCTAGCTTGTAGGATCTTGAGCATGACCTTGCTAGCGTGTGATATGAGTGCAATTGTGCGATAGTTTGAACATTCCTTGGCGTTGCCCTTCTTTGGGATTGGAATGTATACTGATCTTTTCCAATCCTGTGGCCACTGTTGCGTTTTCCAAATTTGCTGGCAAATGGAGTGCAGCACTTTAACAGCATCATCTTCTAAGACTTTGAATAGCTCAGCTGGAATACCATCACCTCCACTAGCTTTGTTGTTAGTAATGCTTTCTAAGGCCCATTTAACTTCACATTCCAGGATGTCTGGCTCAAGGTCAGTGATTATACCGTCGTGTTTGTCAAGGACATTGAGGTCTTTCTTGTATAGTTCTTCTGTGTATTCTTGCCATCTTTTCCTAATCTCTTCTGCTTCTGTTAGGTCCCTACCGTTTTTGTCCTTTATCATGGCCAGCTTTGCATGGAACGCTCCCTTGATTTCTCCAATTTTCTTGAAGAGATCTCTAGTCCTTCCCATTCTATTGTTTTCTTCTATTACTTTGCACTGTTCATTCAGGAAGGCCTCCTTATCTCTCCTTGCTGTTCTCTGGAAATCTGCGTTCAGTTGGGTAAATCTTTCCTTTTCGCCTTTGCCTTTCGCTTTCCTTCTTTCCTCTGCTATTTGTAAAGCCTCATCAGAAAGCCATTTTGCTTTCTTGCATTTCTTTTTCTTTGGTATGGTGGTGATTGCTGCCTCCTGTACGATGTCACGAACCTCTGTCCATAGTTCTTCAGGCACTCTATCTATCAAATCCAGACCCTTGAATCTATTCTTCACCTCTACTGTATATTCATCAGGGATGCGATCTAGGTCAAACCTGAATGGCCTCGTGGTTTTCCCGATTTTCTTCAGTTTAAGTCTGAATTTTGCAATGAGTAGCTCATGATCTGAACCACAGTCAGCTCCAGGTCTTGTTTTTACTGACTGGATAGAGCTTCTCCATCTTTGACTGCAAATTATATAGTCAATCTGATTTCGGTGTTGTCCATCTGGTGATGTCCATGTGTAGAGTCGCCTCTTAGGTTGTTGGAAAAGGGGGCTCATGGAAAGTTATAGCCTGAATCAAAAAGGGTGATAACAAGGGACACTTCTAGATAATGAACTTGTTATCTTCCCTTTTCAGAGGCTCCTGGGAGAAGACTCAGCTTCTGCAAACCCAGACTAACACTTGCTCTTCTCCAGCAAAAGAGCTGTTTTTTTACTGGTTTCTAGAAGGTAATTGATAAAGGAGTGATTTGCGCAGGGAAGCACGTTCCAAAGCTCACAGGGAGGTGAGCATCCCACACAACCTAAGGGGTCCTAGAGTTGTGAAAGGAAAGAAGAAATCCAGGCTTTCTCTGGCTGGTTCCTATCTGGCCTCAAGGAAAGGACCGGTGTGCTGTCACAAGAGTCTGCATAACTGGACTGAGGGGGGATGCCTCCCTGCCTTTCTTCCTTCTGCATTGTGTTTGTCATCTTCAAGGGAGACCTTATTTTACAGTGTTGTTGTTCTTGTTTAAAATTTGTTTGTTTTTGCAGTATGTTAGATAAACTACACTTTGCTGCCCAGTGTTGCTAAACTGAAGGCAACTCTTCCCAGGGGGGCTGGAAGAAGTTTCTAGAAGTCTTCAAGTTCTCAAGATGCCATCCTTTCTATGGGCAACAGAACCTTCACAGTAAGTCCAATATTTCTTTCACTATCACATTTAATTTTTAGTTTACATTCTTGTAAATGAAAGCTGAGATCCTAAGTCTTTTATTACAAGTCTCAGATGAGCTATAATCCACAGAGTCTGTGTGGTCCTGCAATACACTGTGTTCACTCCTAACGAACAGTCCTCGGCTGGTCTTTCTAGTGTTCATTCCTCATGCACACAGGTTGCTGTGTACTGAATACAAACAACGTATCTGTCAAAAGTTATCTTTCTTTGGTTTGGTGAATTACCTGATAGTCACTTCGACAGCATTTTATAAAGTTTGCAAAGCAAAAGCTATATGAACTATTGTGTTAACTATTTGCTCATCTTTCAGGAAGCGAGGCTGAATGCCTGCCCCTTATCACACAGTCAGTTCCCAAAGGTAAATTCAACACTTTTTCTGTAGGATCCCAACAGGTTTGAGAAGAAGTGTTATTTTGAGATATGTTTCAAAACTTTGCATCTCATGGAAGCAGCTCACTTCAAATGGTTTGCAGTCGCATTCACAAAATGAATCCCATGTTCACATAGGATCCGTTTGCCTGGTTTTTTCAGTCTCAAAAGCAGTAGTGTGTGTGTGTGTATATGTGTGTGTGTGGTTTCTCTGTGTGAATATGTGGGCCCCCGTATGAAAAATATTTGTAAGTGGCAGTGGGAAATTCCTGGGATTTTCCATGTATGGACTTTTCCCAGGGACGTGGGTAATAGAATCCTTTTGTTGTTGCTGCTGTTGTTTTTAAATACCAGTCAGTAAGAGGCAGCCTCTTTGGAAGCCCCATTACTGTGTTGCAACTAGCAGAATCGGAAGATTTCTGGCAGGCAAAAACAAAACAAAACAAAACCCCGTTTCTAGAGCCAGGCAGCTGTCGAGCAGGTTGTTTTTTTTGTTTTTCCAAATGACTAACTCTCTGCTAGCCAGAAGGAGAAAACCCCCATTCGTAACCGGCGCAGCAAGGCCAAACTCCCTCGGCCCGTTTCAGCGGCCTCCGAAGGCGCCCGGCCACCTCGCCTTCGCCCGGGGGTGTGGCCCGGCTTCGGGGTTTTCCAGCGCCGTCCCTTAAAGGGGCAGCCGTCCGCCAAGGGACACGCAAAGTTGGCTCGGCTGGGCAGAGGGAGGAGGGGAGGCCGGAGGAGCGCGGAAGAAGCGACGCGGCGGCTCCCCTCGGAGACAGGCGCAGTTTCGGCAGCGGGGCGCAGTCGCAGCCCGACCGTGACCATCCCTTGCCGTGCGTATTTCTGCTTCCGACTTCTACCGTTTGGCTTCTCGGGTGGTCCTCTTGAGCCCCCCGGCTTCGCTCCCCGCGGCAGGGCGCGCGGGCCTCCCTCGAATCTCGAGCGAGTCTGTCGAGACGCCCGGCCACGCGTGGGCCGCTTCCCGCGCGCATCCTGCAGGGGGCCTGGGCTGCGCGCGGCTGACTCCTTCTCCCCACTTGTACGCGCGCGCCGGTGGGGCCCGAGACACGCAACGAGGCTTTCTGTCGTGCCGCCTCCGCTGGTCCTTCTTGGGGACAAAACGAAGAGCGCAGGAAGCTGTGAAAACGTAGGGTGTCGGGCACTAGCAGCATACCGTCCCTGGAGGAAAAACTGGGGGCAGTTCCCCGTAGCTGGCACGTCGCAGGTTTCTGCAGGTGCTGCGTAACTTGGAAGGATGCACCTGCTCTCTTCCATAAGAGCCTTTTTACAGGATGGCTGTTAGGGTTGTTCAGATGCCCGTTTCCCTTTACTACTGCACTGAACTAACACTGTAAGGGAGAAGCGGCAACCCCTTCCCCAAGGCAGCATTTAGGGTAGCGGGGTGGTTCTGCACTGTTGTTATCTGGATGCAGTCATAAAGGTAAGCAGATGCTGATTTCTTCTACACTGCCCAGCTCTCCTAAGGTTAGTATATAGTTCCTGGCGTTGATTTCATTTTTAAGAGAAGTAATAGGCCACTTTCCCAGTAAATGTTTGCAAAGCAGTGTATAATAAAACTGTAAAAATTAAGGCTCAAAAACAGTACAACAAAGAGTGAAGCAAAAGAAGCAAAATGAACCAGAAACAAATCAGTGTGAGCAAATGATGTAGAGGCTGAAACTTCCACAGATGACGAAAACAGAAATGAGAGCTTGAACTTGGCACCCAAATGAAACAAACTTGGATCTATCGAGATATGTCTGGGGATGATTGTTAAGTCTGTCAGGTAACTCTGTCAGGTAACTCTGAAAAGGTCAGGTTACCAAATGCTTGATCTCAGTCACTGATCTCAGGACCTTTCTTTACCCTGTACATTTTGCTGCCAGTACTGGAAAAATGCAGGTTTTCCATCTTTTTGTGACTTATGTATTCACTTTCTGCGACAAGTGGGTTTTTTTTTTGTTCTTGTTGTTCCAGTAGTGGAGCGGAGCCCATGATTTCCTGCATTGGCCTCACCAACTAGCCACAGAAACAACAAGGAAATGGAAAAACAAAACAAAACCCTAACAATTGGGAAACATCAGTGGTTATTACCAAACTGCTGGAACTATGCAAACACTTTTGCACATGAAAACATCCTTGTATGTTGCACATTAGGTATAACTGCTGTGAGTACCAACCCTTGTGTGATGGCAGTCAGACCCCAGTTGCATGTGAAGCAGAAGGTGGGGTGCAATGCAAAGTGCAAAAGGAATGTTGAACCCTCCCGCTGCTCACCAGTTCCATACTCCGAGGCCATATTTTCCTTACCTAATCACTGATACCAGAAGTGAGCTTGAGTGGGATAGATGAGGCCTTTTCTGCCTAGACTGGCCCAGTGTCATTCAGTGAATTTCACGGGGTGAAGGAGATTTAAAGCAGGGGTCCTGAGTTGGCATGTGACATTCCAACCCCTTATACCATACTATTTCCACAAATGTCAGGATGCAACCATGACTGCTTACTTTGTGGTTGCCCTTCTGAAACTTCTCTCATAGCTGATCAAAGCGTATGGAGAGCAGGTCATCCTCAGATTCCAGCCAGTACTACTACTTGTCTTCCTCTTCCTTTGTAATGTATTAAGAGCCAGTGTGTTATAGTGGTTAACATGGTGGACCTAGAAGTCCTGGATACAAATCCCTTGCTGGCTTTCAGCTTGACCTACCTCACAGGATTGCTGTGGGGACAAATTGATTGGATCCAGCTGGCTTTTTTACTCAGTCTCACCTATATTGGCAAGCTAATCGAGAGGGCCGTGGCAGTCCAGTTACAGAGCTTTTTGGATGACACTTCCACTTTAGACCCCCTTCCAGTCCAGCTTTCGCCCAGGACATGGGACAAAGGCAGCACTGGTCACCCTCACAGATAGCCTCCGGAGGCATCTGGATCAAGGTGGATTGGCAGTGCTGCTGCTGTTGGACCTGTCGGCAGTGTTTGACACGGTCAACCATCAGCTACTGATCCACTGCCTCGATGACACTGGAATTCAGGAGCTTGCCTTGCAATGGCTTACTTCAGGATTGGAGACAAAGGGTGGCAGTAGGGGAACAGCTGTCCCGAAGGCATCTACTGACATGTGGAGTGTCTCAAGGGGCAGTGCTGTCCCTGATGCTATTTAAAATCTATATGCTCCCCCTTGTCCAGATTGCCTGGAGGCATGGGCTGGGGTGTCACCAGTATGCGGATGACACCAGCTCTATCTGTTGTTGGGTGGCCGGTTTGACTCCACACCGGAAGATCTGGACCAGGCGTTACAAGCCGTGGCTGGTTGGCTTAGACTGAATGGACTGAAATTAAATCCGATGAAGACAGAGGTCCTGTGCCTGAGTTGGGGTGGCCCGAGGGCAGGGATTCCACTCCCAACCTTTGATGGGGCGCAGTTGGTGCCAGCGCCGGAAGCTAGGAGCTTGGGAGTGCTCTTGGATGCCTCCTTAACAATGGAGGCACAGATAGCAGCCACTGCTAGGCAGTTGGTTCCCTTCCTCGAACACAGCGACTTGGCAACAGTGATCCACACGATGGTCACCTTGAGATTAGATTACTGTAATGCTCTCTGCATGGGGTTGCTCTTGTCCCAAATCCGGAAGCTACAGCTAGTGCAAAATGCTGCGGCCAGGCTGTTGATGGGTCTCTCTACGTGGGAGCACATCCAGCCTGTACTGAAAGCATTGCACTGGCTGCCAATAGCATACCGGCTTCAAAGTGCTGGTTTTGACCTTTAAAGCCCTTTATGGTCAGGATCCGGCATACCTAAGGGACCACCTTTCCCCACATTCTCCCCAGAGAGCACTGCATTCAGAATCCCAAAATCGATTGGCCCTCCCGGACCCCGAAGACGCCAGGCTGGCCGTAACTACAGCCAGGGCCTTCTCAGTGGCGGCTCCATACTGGTGAAATGAGCTCCTGGAAGAGATCAGGGCCCTGCGGGACCTTTTATAATTCCACAGGGCCCGCAAGACGGAGCACTGCCACCAGGCTTTCAACTTAGGAGCCGCACCAAATATCTGAGGAGTGACCTTGTGCCCTGGTCATACCTCCTATAGCCTGTGCCCACCGCACAAATAAGCTGAACAAACTGAGCTGGTGGGAGAATACCATCATGATTGTTATCGTCACCTAAGCAGCACTGTTAATTTGAAACCTGCTGTTCTCGCACTTTATCAGATCATTTTCCAGCACTTTAGGATAATTGACAATTGAATTCTTTATGATTGTCTTATGATTGGTTTTAATTGTATTTATATATGTAATTTTACGTACGTTGCCCTGAGCCTGCCTCAATGGGAAGGGTGGTGTATAAATCGAATTAATAAATAATCATATATATAAAATTCTCCTAACGTGTTGGCCATTTCCAGCTCTCCCATTGGCTGTGCTGTCTGCTCCATCAGCCATTGGCCCATCAACCTCCACTCAAGAGTAATTTCGTGCCATTGGGTGGGGGCTGGGTCTGCTCCTCTTCCCCGCCCACTGCCGTCTCAGCCAGTGTTCCCTGTCAGAATAACTGCCAAAACGGCTGTCTCTCCTGACAAAGACACTTCTCCTGCTTGGCTCCTGTGCAGACTAACTTTTCCCTCAGTGGCTGTTGTTAGGCAACCGAGCTTGGTTCTGTCAGTAAAAAGGCAAAGCAGGAGACCCTTTCCAGGCCTTTGTGGGTAACTCATTGGGGCCAGTCCTGCCTAAGGTTGCCAGCTCCAGGTTGGGAAATTCCTGGAGAGTTTGTGGTGGAGTCTACGGAAGCCAGGGGAGAGGCCTCAGCTGAATAGAATGCCATAGAGCCCACCCTCCAAAGCAGTAATTTTCTCCAGGGGGAGAGAGAGATCAGTTGTCTGGAGTTCAGTTGTGATACCAAGTCCAAACCATAGCCAGTGTGGCAGAGCAGTTAACACTTCAGAGCAGGATCTGCCAGACCCAGGTTATTGCTGTGGAAGCTGAGTAGGTGATTTTGGACCAGTCACAGACTTTCAGCCTAACCTACCTCACAGGGTTGTTGTGCAGATCAAAAAGGGGAAAGGAGAATGATGTAAGCTGCTTTGGTCCCCACTGCAGAGAAAGACTATACTTTTCCTCCTGGGAAACCATTGTTACCAATCTACAGGTGAGGACTGGAGATCACTCAGAATTACAACTGCTTTCCAGATGTCAGAGATCAGTTCCCCCGGAGAAAATGGTGGACTCTGTGTCCACCCTATGACTGCCCATATGACATAGCAGTCAGGGCTTCAGAGTAGGGTAGAGGCTGCAGGTGTGTGTGGGGGGGAATGGAAAGCTGAAGTCAGAGGGGCAGATAATGGTAGGTTGATGGTTGGCTGGGAAGGAGATAGGGTTGCCAACTCCAGGTTTGGAAATTTCTGGAGATTTGAGGGGTGGAGCCTGGAGAGGGTGAAGTTTGAGGAGGGTGGGACCTCAGACAGGTACAATGCCATAGACTCCACCCTCCAAATGAGCCATTTCTTCCTGGGGAACCATTGTTGCCAATCTCCAGGTGAGGGCTGAAGATCACTCAGAATTACAACTGCTCTTCGGGGGGAGAGATGGAAAGGTGATGTCAGAGGGGCAGATAATGGTAGGTTGATGGTTGGCTGGGAAGGAGATAGGGTTGCCAACTCCAGGTTTGGAAATTTCTGGAGATTTGAGGGGTGGAGCCTGGAGAGGGTGAAGTTTGAGGAGGGTGGGACCTCAGACAGGTACAGTGCCATAGACACACCAGCCCTCCAAACCAGCCATTTCCTCCTGGGGAACCACTGCTGCCAATCTCCAGGTGAGGGCTGGAGATCATTCAGAATTACAGCTG